TTTTAAGCAGAATGACAAAATGCCACGTTAAATACTTCAATATGAGTATTTCAGCTTTAAAGGTAGGTAGCTAGATGGATGTAAAGAGATCTCAAGTATATAGTTAACTATACTGTACCAATTGCTAACATTCCATATATATCAGTATGTCAGTATAAATGATATTATCTTTTGGAGCAAGAATTGACCAAAAAGTCAGCATTAGCAAATTCATCTGTAGCACCTCTCCTGAAAGGGCCACTGGCAATCGGTCACTTTTATCCCTTTCCCAGGTGACCAGCCCAACCTGGCCCAGGCACACCAACACACCTTGGAGGGAGTTACAGGTTTTAATGAAAAATAATGGACGTTAAGATACAAATCAAATTAAACCACGCAATAATATAAAACATTAAATCTTGCAGTGAGTAATGTTTCTCAAGTTACCTCAAAGATGCTTTTTTGAAAGGTAAACTGGACTTTGTTTCTTCCTTGAGGAAGACATTTTGCTTTTCATCCAAGAAGCTTCTTCAGTTCTGACTGAAATTTCTGATTGAAATTAATTTCTGCTCACAATTAATTTTGAAAAATCAAACTAAACTATTAATAAATTATTTATTTTTTAACAAACACAAATAATTTAATTTCTAATATTCATCTACCAAAGGGCTTTTCCCCCCTAACTGTGTCTGTACTGGAGATCAATTTGATAAACGATCAGGGGATACATGCTCTGAGTTTTCTGGCAATTGCACTAAAAGTTAAATATAAAATCTAAGCTTACATGACTTCAAGCTATCAATCAACAATGAGGGTTGTTTTTTTAACTGTATAAGGTCATGGACTTGCCAGCAAATGCTAATTCTCAAGTTCTACTATCAATCTGAAAGCTGAGAAATATTTTTTTCCCTTGCAGTGCCAAATTGTTATTGTTTGCTTTAGAATCTGACATTTGACCACAATGATTAGCAGCAATTTAAACAAAATACCAAGATACTTCAGATTTCACTTTCAGCTTTAGTAGTACAAGAGGTAGGATGTTAGAATCCAGATGAGAAGTTAGTGATAATCAAAAGTTAAATATAATTTTTCATGTTCTATAATTGGAAGTGCTGAATGCATTGTTATTTGTTACAAATATTATTTAAATATTTGTGTATTAAAATTTCTAGATACTATTTATAGGTGCAGAAGAAAAGTACAAAAGCCATTATTTATTAGTCAAAAAATATCCACTGAAATTAGTCACACTACACCAACCAATAAGATAATTAATAGTCAGCATAATATAACTGAACAGTAGCTAAAAGTACAAATGAACAGGCACACCTAAATTACAACGCTGTGCAAATAAAATGTTGACTTGGAATGCAAAATATGCAGTGCTACCATTAATTGATTATGGTGTAGTAATTCCCAACTGAGTGCCAGTTTGTTGTGGTGGTTAAGGTATTAGTGCCAAATAGGCATAAAGTCAGATTGCTTAATTCAAGAATGTTCAGAGAATTGAGTTATCATATCTTTTCCCCAGTTACCTTTCTAGTGGACTGAAATAGTGACTAACATTCATAGAACATAAAACATCAGAGTTGGAAGGGACTGTGGAGGTATTCTAGTCCAACCCTCTGCTCAAGCTGGAGACTCTATACCAGGGGTAGGCAACCTTGGCTCTTTTATGACTCGTGGACTTCAACTCCCAGAATTCCTGAGCCAGCTTGGCTGGCTCAGGAATTCTGGGAGTTGAAGTTCACGAGTCGTAAAAGAGCCAAGGTTGCCTACCCCTGCCCTATACCATTTCAGACAAATAGCTGTCTGGTCTTTTCTTAAAAGCATCCAGTGATGGAACACCCACAACTTCTGAAGGCAAGTTGTTCGACAGTGAGAACAATCAACCAATGGAATCAACCATTCATTAATATCTAAGAAGTATTTTGAAGGAATAGTCATCTAATCCACTCTTTTAATATGGTTTGTCTCCTGCGAACAAGGGATACTTAGCTTTTGTAATTAAAATGTGCCAAATGACATGGGCAAAAATGACAAAAAAAAAGTGTCCAGCTGTACCCTGAAATATTCTGTTGATAACCAAAAGTCACATTAAATAAAATTGATCCATAAAACTACATAACCACAACACACTGGGCATTTTTATTAGAACTGTGGCAATGTGCTTAAGTTCAGACTGAATATAAAACTTAAATCTCAGAAGCCTGCACTAAAGATGTTTCTGTTCACTTCCAAGGTTTCTACCATATTCCCGTTAACATCTGATGTTATTAACTATATGAGAAAACTGAACTGGACAGTTAGTTAAAATGGTGGGAAAGAGCAGATTTCTCTATGGCCAACATAGCCATAATCATGCATTCTCATGTATGTTATATGACATTTTTTGCTGAAGTAACCATTCTGCTCATTGATAGATTCCCTACTTAACCAGGAAGCTATCTGGACTCAATAGTATCGAAAACAAACTTTGGGAGAAATTGTAATAATAGAACATTCAATCTTACATCTCAAGAGCTACAGAGGGCAGAGAAATAGTCCTGAAGATTAGGACAAAGAGCCACTATTAAGGCAATGATCAGACAAGACGGGCTTGAATCCATTCCAAGAAATATTTGAGAAAACAACTGACTGGCCCCTTTCCTAGTTTCCACAGAAATAAAGGGAAAGGGGGGGGCACATTCAGGCTTCCAAGATTCTATTACAATTAGTATTACCATATAAATAGCCCCGACCTATATGACATTGGTTTCTTAGGTTTATTTTATAGCAGTGGTGCCCAACCTTCCTGGGACCAGGGATCGGTTTTGCCGAAGACAATTCTTCCACGGACGGGATGGGGGTGCTTCATGCAGTACCTAGATCCTGCAAATGCGCAGACGAAGGTTCACTCACTTGCCCACCACTTGCGCAGCCCGGTTCCTAACAGATCATGGACCGGTACTGGTCTGAGGCCCAGGGGTTGAGGACCCCCTGCTTTATAGGGCTGACAAGGCAGACCACTAAGTCTATATCACACAAGGGAGTGACTACTGTTAATCTAGATTTTATAGAAAGTGGCCATTGACATCCACCCCCCTTCAAGCTGTAAATTCAAATTTGGTTGCCCTACTGAGTATACTAAGTCAATTGTCAATTGAGATAGCCTCATGGCTGCCAAAGGGGAAATGTAGTCCCAAACAATCCCACTAAACATGGGTAGGCAATCTTCCTAATGGTGTTAAATTTCAACTCCCTGGCTAAATAGTCATATATACTTCAAATATACTGCAAGTATCAATCCAGAAATGTACATAAAAATCATGTTGCCCTACAGAACTATTTTGTACATTTTTAAAAATGATACAAGATAAGTCTTCAGATGTTTTTAAAAATCTACACCAAAATGAGCTGCAATGTCATAAACATTATAAACAGTAATCTTTTACCAAAGGGTGTTAGTATAACAGGAAAACGCACATACTCATGCATACACAGAATGCACCAAAAGCCAGCCTCTACACTACAGGCTAATCATAATTTGATTTGTTCATATGTTTTCCAATAGTCTTATTTACTGTATACTTAGGAATGTTCAAAGGTCATGCATCAAATGAATAATGAAATGTTTGGAAGAAAATGACAACCAATTTGAACATTCAATGTGATTTATGTAATAAACTGTCTATGAAGCCTGACTTTTGGTACACCCATGTGTGTGTTTCTGTATGTATCCTCACTGTGTAAATAACAGAGCATGAATTTAAGTTCCATCAAGACTAAGGAGTTGTGATACACAGAATAAAAACAATCAATCCCAGAATGGAATTTTCCAGAGAATTCCAGAATGCTCTGTTCCTTCTCAGGCAATGTCATTCTGGCTGTTCCTGGGGTGGGCAGATGATTTTCTGGAAATTAATTCTCCAAACTGGAAGTGGTTCCAAAGTGTTCAGGGTAAGGTGTGTGAAGAAAATAGGACTGGACTAGGTCTAGAATTGCTTCTATTTCAGAAGATTAATTCCTTAGAAACCACTAACCCCTTCTAAAATAATTGGAAAGCAAAATCAGCAGATAAATTTTTAGGGGTGGGGACCATCTGCAATTCTGGATTGTTCTGATATTCTTCCATCCAAGTACATACCAACCAGCCTCCATCTTTGGCAGCTCAGCTATAATTAGCTTAGTAGATTCCACCTGCCTGTGCTAAGTAGGTCCATAATAAATGCCAAGAAAAAACCTTGCCTTTTACATGCAACACCTCTAACTATGAGATAGCATTTAATTATACAGTTTAATCATACTGCTTATGATGATAACCAAAGGAAGCAATACATTTCAAATGTCTTATTGTTCCATGACCTTCTGCTCCAAAATAAATAACCACCTGCCTATGGACATAGTCAAGTAGCAAATATTTTGTATAAGACAAACACAACTGCTGCTTTCAGGTCAATGTTTTGTTTCCTTTTTTTTTTTTGACTTAAAAATGCTTCATATCCCAAAAGCTGATCCAAGATAAGTTAATACTACTGTAATAATTTGGAACAGTATTCATCTTTTTAAGTGTCTTGGGAGTATTTCCTAATCTTTAAGTTCCTTATTACTGGCTGCTCTTTGGAATGATCCCCCCCTCCAAGATGTACCCCTGTTAGGAAGGTGCTTAACACCAGGATCTTCTACCAAGCTTTGTGACTGGGTTAAGGCGAGTACCCCTGAGTAGGTTGTTGACATTTTCAGTGTTCAATATTTAAGGTTTAGTATGTTTTCAAGTGCTATGATATTTTGCATTTTTTTTTTAAAATTGGGGATGAAGTATCTTTTGTACACTACCCAGCATCAGAGAGTTTGAATGGAACAGCATATAAGCATTTAAATAAATATTAAAACTAGTCTTAGACATATAAATGAAAATATCAATAAAATCTATGCCACCATTTTCATACAGTTTAGTATAAAAGATGTTTGTCAGCTGACCTATGAAGGCTAAGCATTCATCAATGATAAATAATCTAATAGAAGAAAAATATTAAGACTACCTTCTTTTCTTTTGATGTTATGAGGAATTTTACAGTGTCCACCATGGCTAACGACCCACACGGGATACTGCTGATTCAGGTTAAAATATAAAGCCTCAATGAATGTCCGGTAAAAGCCAACCAATCCTGGATTACCTAAAAGAGACAAAAGTATACCAAAAATATAGGCCACAAATAAAACACAATCCATTGAAAAGATTGAAACATTAAGATCCATCTTTTATCTTGTGCAAATTATATTTATTAAATATTTTTCACTGTATGGATCATTTATACATCATATTTGAACTCGGAATGAAAACAGATATTAAACTGTATGGCATTTCTCATTTTTTGTCTAAAAATAATTTTGCAACTCAGCAGGCAACTTTCACCTTACCAAAAAAAGAGCCAGCATAGTCATACTCCACTCAGTATCAAGGATGCAGCTGTAGAGGTAGTCAACAGTATTAAATATCTGGGGGTACAGATAACTAACAATCTAAATTGGTCTCTCCACACATTATCCTTAGTGAAGCGTGCAAACCAGTGTCTGCATTTCCTACATCAGATGAGGATACCACATCTTTCTCCTTCTGTCCTGGCCACTTTTTAGAGGCACGATTGAGAGCATTTTAACAAACTGCATCACTGTCTGGTTTGGTGGCAGCAGTGCCTCAGATAGAAAGTCCATACAGAGATTGGTAAGGACAGCCGAGAAGATCATAGGAAGCTCGCTCCCTGGTATTCAGAACCCTGCTTATAAGTGCTATGTGTTTAGAAATCAAAGCATCGTTAGAGACCCCATGCACCCACTTCACGGTCTTTTTCTGTTGCTCCCCTCTGGGAGGAGATTTAAAAGTATTTCTAGCAGGACTACCCAATTCTGTAATAGCTTTGTTCTCTATGCCATCTGTCTGGGAAACTCGCAAGATTCGCCATTCACATGTATACATAACCCGAACTAGACTGTTGTTTTACTGTGTCATATAATATATGTGGGTATATGCATAATTCTGTATTAATTTATTTTTGTCATATTTATGTAGTATGTATCGGAGGTGGTGACTTTTTGAGAGCTGAATGCAACGAAATTTCATTTTAACGTATGCCAATTAGTGTACATTCAAAGTGACAATAAAGATTCTCTTCTCTTCTCTTCTCTTCTCTTCTCTTCCTCTTCTCTTCTCTTCTCTTCTATTCTAAAGATTTAACCACATGGCTGAGTTTTCAGGGAAAAAAAGTAGAACTTAATTCCTCTATTGCATTGCTTTGCGATAGAAACTTATTCAACAATGTAGTCTTCAAATATAGTATATTATCCACATTTTTCAAGTTCATGGAATGTTTAGTTCCTGATCCTCCCAAATTAGAGCAATAACTTATTTGGAGGGTTTTGTCACTGTGAAACTATTTATTAATCAAAATGTGTTTTAAAAAAATATTATTTTTGTAATTCACATAATGTGCATGCATTTTCTCATAATATGAAAGGAAGAATTTATTTAAAAGACCTGAATTATAATAAATGCTCTTTGAATAACATGTTGTACATTCTTGTCTTTTTTTAAAAAAAATAATTTTCTTTGGAAGAGTCACCAAATGTAAAACAGAGATTTTATACTGTAACTTCTTCACAGATTTTCATTCTTTCCTATTCATTCCACTGGGGAATATGGAATATTTGTCTCATTCCCATCATCAGATGAACAGTGAAAGTAAGATTTATACAACTTTTGTTAAACTTTATAGCCAATCACTCAGTGTAGATTTTAATACCTGTGATTAATCTTTTTTTTTTTCCTGACAGGGAAGATTTCTACCTTCTGATAAATTATGTGACTACCTGAGGTTTTTTTTAAAGAAAGGAAATAGAAAAGATTGCAGACAAAATAAGGCAAGTGTACGGGGAGGAAAAGAGCAACTACAAAAGATAATCATATATATCACTTATTACAATAGCTACTGACACTGAAAAATACTTTGAAGGGGTAGAAACAAGAGCCACAAATGTGAATACACTTTTTAATGTATGCTGTCAAAAAAGAGCACTTAGTACCTTACAATGCTTATTAAATTATCAGTCTTTGTTCTTTTAAGCAAGACAAACACTTTTCCAGTGTTTCTGCCACAAAATGTGAATCATTCTTGGTCTTTGGTAGCATGCTGAACAAATGAACCGATCACAAAGTCTGGTTCAGCAAGATTAAAATCCAAGGATACATTCAAAGCTCTGTGAACAGTGGGAATTCTCACTATTTTATAATCCCATCCAAAAATCTGATAGAGCAGGAGGAAGTATTTTGGCCCTGTGTAAATCTTTTAAAAATAGAACCTTGGCAACCAATTGTTGTTTGCATTCAAAATAAACAACACGCATAATCTCAGCATTCTTTATAACCACCCAATTAAAAAAAAGAGAGAGATAAGAACAATGCACCTTACATTCTTCTCTCTCATGTAAAGATATTCATTTATCTTCCATCTTTAGGAATAGTAAGAGCCGAAGCTAACCTATAGGACACACAGTGTAGGAGAACAGGTAGAGAGGCTGCCCCAAAATGCTCCATACAACATTCTTGTTCTACCTACTCCACTGAACTCTGAGAAAAATCACTGCATGGATCCTTTATTTAGTTTGGTGCCAATGTGCTAACAGTTTGACTTAATGTAGAATATGTAGAGACTTCTGAACTTTTCTCATTATTGTTTTAGCACTGTGTATTGTTCGGGATAATGAAATAATTCCACATCCAGATGCAATGGTTTGAAGAGCAGACCACTAAATCAATTTTGGAAGCGGCAGTCTTCAGTCTTTTGTCACTGGGATTACTGTTGAGAAAAATCTAATAATGGGAAACAACCAATGACCCAGAAACTAGCTTCAGACACATCAAATGCTCTTTGACTGTGAAGAAGTATATCATATACATGGCAACTTAAATATCTGGAAGAATGTAGTGAGACCAGCTCTTTGGAACCTCCAACATTATTGAAAAATCAAGTTCTCCATTCCAAAAAATAGTAAAAAAACCCTTTGTACTTATCTTTAAAACAGCACCATCTTCTGGCATACTTCTTTCTACATTATAGTCAGAAAGCACAATTGTCTTAGGCATTATTAAATTTTATTTGGTTTGTAATATGCCTCTTTAGCAGTTCCTAACAATCTGACATAATGTAGAATAGGCTACATTATCTGCAAAACAAGAACTGCTTTGAACAAGTATATCTGATCCCACAATTGAGATTCCCACTGCAATCGTTAAACAAAATAAGGCAAATCAGTACTGCAAAAGCTTTAAGCTTCTAGACACTTCACTGTATTTTTGATTTCTTCATAAGTCATTGACTATAAAATGATACTGTGATATGATAGAAGGGGCGTTGTCTTACCTGAATGCTGTTTCTCAGCACGGAGATGGATAATCCACTAATGGGGTAACTTAATCCTCCTGACCAAGCAGGTCAAGTCAGCCAAACTTGCCACGCCTGTTCTGGGCCTGATTGCCCCAGTTTTAGATGAGGACGCAGCTACTGACTGACAGCATGACGTGTTGGCTCATAGAACAGACCCTAGGCCTAAGGAACTGTTTCGCGTGGCACCACTTTTTGGAGGACCCTCCTGACAAAGGATGCCTCGGCGGAGGCGTACCTGTCCAGCTTGTAGTGCTGCATAAATGGTGACGGGGAAGACCATGTGGCTGCCTTACATACTTCCTCAATGGAAGCCTCCGTGGCCCAGGCCGTTGAGGTGGCCGCACTGCGTGTAGAGTGGGCTGTGACCCGGGGTGGAACCGGCAAGGAATTGGACTGGTACGCCCCCGCAATGCAAGCTCTTATCCAATGGCCGATCGTGGAGGCCAAGACCTTCCGACCCCTGGAGGAAGGCGAGAAAGAGAGCCTCAGAGCTACGGAAGGGGGCCGTCCGTTTAATGTAGTGATGGAGAGCCCGTCGGACATCCAGAGAATGCCATCGCCGTTCCAACTCATGGGACGGATTGGGGCAGAAATCAGGAAGGACAATGTCCTGGGTCCTATGAAAAAGAGAATTAACTTTGGGAACAAAGGTGGGGTTGAAGTGCAGAGTGACCCAATCCCGGTGGAAGATACACAGATCCTCCCTGACCGAGAGGTCCCCCATCTCGGAGATGTGCCGGGCCGAAGTGATAGCCACCAGGAAGGTGACCTTGAGGGATAAGGACCTCATGTTGCACGAACTGAGGGGCTCAAAGGGAGCCCTGGTAAGAGCCTGAAGGACCCTAGGCAATTCCCATGTGGGATACCTGTGGACCACAGGTGGCTTGGTATTTGTAGCTCCCTTGAGGCAGGAGCGGATCAAGGGGTGTTTCCCCAGAGAACTAACCGTGTTGCAAGAGAGCAAGGTAGAGAGGGCCGCCACCTGTCTACGCAAGGTATTAGGTGCCAATCTCTTATTCAGTCCCTGCAGTAAATAGTCTAGAATGTTTGGGATGGTCAATCTCGATAAAGGTAGTTGACGAGTGGAACACCACCGGCAAAAGTTCTGCCACGTGGCATCGTAGATGCGGTTCGTCGCTGGTCTATGGGATGCCTAAATTACATCAATGACCCCTGGCGAACAGGACTCTTGGATCAGGATCCTGCGTTCAAATGCCAAATGGCTAACTGGAGCCATTGAGGGTGAGTCAGGTCCCCCTGGATCAGTGATACCCTGTCTGGAGGGATTTTCCAAGGGCGCGATTGGGAGAGCCCGACGAGGTCTGCGAACCAAGGTCTCCGCGGCCAGCAAGGGGCTACCAGGAGGACCTCTGCCCTCTCCTGTAGGAGCTTGTGGATGACCGCTGGGAGGAGGGGGAGGGGGGAAAGGCATAGAGCAGGCCGTCTGGCCATGAAGTCCGGAGGGCATCTACTCCTTTTACCTCCTGAACTGGGAACCACGAGAGGAACCGTGGGAGCTGCGCGTTTGCCCCGGAGGCAAACAAGTCTATGATGGGGAGACTGAATCTGTGAGTGATTTCCCTGAATAGCCTCGGGTGCAGACGCCATTCCAAGTGGTCCACGGTTGACCTGCTCAGGAAGTCTGCCCTCTTGTTTGCCTCCCCCGAGATGTGGTCCGCCCTGAGTGAGGCGAGGTTGGTCTCTGCCCAGGAGCCCAGCTGTTGGGCCTCGGCCAG